AACAGTATGTGTGAAAGAGAGTTGCAGTGTTATGTTAATTGATTTTACTTTATAGGTAAAAATAGAGTTATGAAACATTTCAAATAGACAGCAAAGTATCTAGAATATTGTAACGGATACATACAACATCTATATTATCATCACCAACTTACAAAGAAATTAATATTTGCTGTATTTATTTCTGTCCTCTTTCTTTGGAAAGAAGATACAGTAAAATTTCCACATCTTTCTTTACTCTCTAGAAATATTACTCTCCTAAGGTTACTGGTTACGCTGCCTACACAATTTTATTATTTAACTACATAAGAGTTTATTTACAGCAATTATATAATACTTCTGTGTGTTTAAATGTACATAAATTATACTGTGTGTATCTCCTCTTGCTTATCAGGTATCCACTGAATATTGTGTATTTTTATCCCTGCTGATATATTTGTGAATTTCATGGATTTTACTTCCCTTTATGCTACTTTAATAAGAATAACCAAGTTGATTGATCTGTCTTATTTATGAATAATTAGGTCATTTATACTTTTTGTAAAAAACACAAATAGATTAAACACCTTTTCTCAGGTCTCTATCATCATACTGCCAGTCTTCAGGGGAGACATCTAGATCCTGGTTTTGTTGGTTACATTCATCTTTCACCTAACTAGGTATTCCATTTCTCTCCAAAACGCTTACACCAATGCACTCTCTCTCTAGCAATATCAGAATAATACCTCTTCTCCATGCTTTTATCAATATTTGGCGTTATCAAGTTTTACTCATTTTGCCAATATGAAGGTTCTGAAGTGTTAGCTAACAGTCCTGGTTAAATGATATTTTCCTAAGGTCCCTCCTGGCCATGTAACTGGCCATCACACCCATGCCAAGCTCTATCAAAATAACAAAATAAAGAATGTGGAAAAAAGACTTTGCACAGTCTACAGTGAGAATACGTTTCCTCAAGAACTGTCCTACACGGCTAAAGCTGGCTCCTGAACCCATATATCAGGCCATAAAAGAAGAATGGGGACACGGCCCCCGTTCTCTATTTATTTTCTTGCGTTCATAATCCAATGTTACTTAAAAAGCAAACTGCCCCAAACTGCAGCCAAGGAAAATACAGTACTCTGGGTTTTGCCAGGCAAAATGCCTGTGGAGAAATGAGTCAAGTCATACAAAATTCAAAACTGTCTTTGGTCAGTCACATTTTCATGAAAATCTGTGGGTGGGTAAAAGTTTTGAAAAATTTCTTCTTGCTATTGGATAAAATTCATCCAGGAAAAACAAGCAAAATTTAAGTGGCAACCCGCATTCCCCCTAATTCCCTTATTAACACTCCCTAACCTCCCAGCACAACTGCTTTCAATTGTGCACGAAGGCAAGCCTCGTCATTTCTGATCCTGGCAACAGAACCCTGTGCCTGGCTGGCTCTGTGTCTCCTCCCCAGACATGTTTCCCTCACACAGGCAGTAACACAGCAGGCACTGAGAACACACCTTACTCGGAAACAACCGAGTCTTGCACACCTTTCCACTTAATGCGAAAAAAAAAAATACAGCATACTCTCTGCCTGCACCCTGTGGAACCATTACTTAGGGCACTGTTAGAGGCGGTTAGTGTCTTTTTCTGGTTTGGGGTTACACTTTATGTTGTCCTCTTTGGAAACTGAAATGGGGATTTGACTAACAGACAAATTTTGAGTGATTTCATGACTTGTTCTGACTTGAGAATCTGGAACCTTCTCATCTCAGAAAAATTTAACAGAATTCCACGTAGTTATACCTGGGAATGCTCAAGAGCTTGGATAATTCTAAGATTTACCAATGCTAGGGATTGGTTTAAGCTCAGGAAATTTGAAATAGAATGATTTGGCATCTGGAAATTGCTTTAGGTAGTACACTGCCGTGAATGAATTATATTTAAATGTAATATTGCCATATCCCAGTTTCTGATTTAGCTGAGGCCTGCCTGTCCGTCTTCTGACGCCTTTACTTCCCAAGGCTTTTGCCCCTGACTCAGAATCTCTCAGTTATAGTGCCACATCTACAACGAGAACAGCTGGTTTGGTTTTCCAAAGCAGCAATAAGAACAAGAACTATAGAAAGGCAGGGTCATTTGGGTGCGAAAAGAAAGAGAACCCGTCTTCTTCCAGAAACTGAAGCAAATATTACACAATCCACCTCTGATTATGCCACCTAGAATCCTGTGTAATCTGAATCCCAGGACTCTGGGGTAAAGCTGGGAGTCATGATCAGAGATTCCAAAAATGCATTCTCCCATGCTAGAAAGGAATTTTGGCTCTGAGGAAGGACACCAGTGGTAGCCTCTTACTGTAAGCAGGCTGTAGCCCTGGGTCACACCCTCCTTTTACTATAACTTCCAGAAGCTCTTTGTACTTCCTGTAGTCATGGTCACCAAACACAAAAGAGTCATCATTCCTTTCTTGGGTCAATAAGCCAAGTGAGTGAAATGACGACTAACCCTATTACACACAGAAATCAATAGCTCTTAAATGTACATACAACAAAAATGGACTGAGTTTTAATATGTAAACTGTTCTGACTCTTTGCAGTATGGGACATAGTCACAAAAACCCAAAGGTCCCTTGTCTAAAAGAAGAATGTGGTTATTGTATTTCACAGGGATCTTTAGTTTTGAATCAACTACCTTTAGATCTTAAAACAGCGAAACATTTCAGTGTTAAAAATTCTTTATGTCTGGACTCCAAGAGTATAAAGATTCATTTTTGCAAAAGGCAGAAAAATGTGTTTTTTTTCAAGTGTGCAGTCACTTTGCTTGCATGTCTTTTGTCTACAGTCTACTCCTTGAGAGGACACCTCAACTTTCACAAAAAAAGCGTTGTCTGCCAGTTGGTTATAATGCTACAAATCAAGCAAATGACATGAGCAATATAATGATCCTTAGAAGACAGGTCCATGATAAGCATGCTTATATGAAAATGGATGTCTTCCTGCTAAAAATATGTATTAGTTGGCTCCTAAGAAACCCTTCTTTGAATAAATATATTTGCACCATAACATGTGATACTGTATTATATTAGCAATCTGAATTTTGCAAAGATTCCATCTCTAAGTAGGGAGTAGGCAGATTAGGAGGGAAAAATTACCTCCTGTACGCACCATGAACAGTATAATGAAGACTATGCAGAGGTCTGAAAATATTCACCTCACAATTTATATTCAATTACTTCTACTTTTAATACCCATTATGTACTTAGTAAAAGTCAGCTTCATAAAGTTGAAAAGTCTGAAAACAGTGAGAAAAAGGGGGAATCCTATTGCATAAAAATTTATTTTACAAGCCAAAAATAATTTTTTTGATAATTCAAGCCTTTATGTTTATTTCAGTAAAGCCAAATCCAGTAAACTATTTTCAGCCAGGATTAGTCAGAACTGAAAGGTTGGACTGTTTTCTTTCAGAGACTGAATCTCTTTCTCCCTGCAACAGGCTGGTGTGTTCCAAGCACAGTAAATGGAATTGCCTGCAATTGCTTGACTCTTTCTGGAATTTTTAATGCAGAACCCTACTGACAGAGTAAAGTTTTGCCTCCTGAAATGTAATTATTCTTTTCACTCATAGAACCTGGCATTCTCACAGCTTCAGGTTTTCTTTAAGAAAAAAATCACAATATGGGGCATAATGTAACAATAAAAATTTCAATTCATTCTACCAGAAATTCTTAAAACTCTTTCACAAAATACCTACTGGACAATGAAAAAAGTGCTTCTAATATTGCATTCTAATATTGTTATTGCTTCCAATGTCACCTGTTTGGTTTGCTTTTTCACATAAATTAAAGAGCTCAGCCAACCTACACTCAAACACAAACATGGTCCACATTCTTCATATCATGATATACTATAGAAAAAGGAACTCCAGTTGGGGAACATATTCCAAATAAATTCCCTTTCAGATTGATTTAGATATTTCACATATATAGGAATATCCAGTATACTCAATATCCAGGTAGTATATAGAATTCTTAGATTTTAACTCTAAAGAAATATTCCTGTCCATTGAAACTAATATAAAACACATGTTCTTCTTCTTCCAAGAATTAAGTAAGCTGTCTGAGATGGTGCAAAGCCATCCCTATGATCCCCAGGGTGATATCTTGCTTGTAAACCCTGAGAATTTCTGTAAGGTGTGAACTGTGGTGAAATCATTTAAGAATCGTATTATTCAAAAACAGCAAATTTTTCCAAGAAAAAAGATAGTGTTCCAGGATTAACGTTGGGCAAGAAGCGGGGAGGAGAAAGAGACAGCAGGCCCACTTCTTTCAAGACCAAAGACACGTTCCGCTCTCTTTGTACAGTCCCATGAAATTCCTTCTCTTAAAACTAGGTGAGAGTCAGTGAAGTTTTGCTCCTGTGGTGTACTCTGTTGTTTTATGTTGACTACAAACCATTAACTGGCCTCCAACCCTGGAAGGTATGGAGTGCAGGCCTGGGGGTGCACCTAACAACATTTTCACTAGTCAAGTTGTTAAGAGGTGAGTTCTTCTCCTAAATATCAGCATCACCCCTCCCCCTACCTTGATTCTCACCCAGCTATTGCAAAGAAAAAAAAAAGACAGTATATTTGCTTTGGGAAAGTAAAGCTTGGTGGTGATGCAGTGTGTTCCTCTGCTCCTGCATATCCGTGGCAACTCCAAGTTGGTGCCCAGCAGACATTTCCCAACATTTTGGGCTGTGTGTGTGAGAGAGAGAGAGAGCCAGAGTGAGGGAGAGAGACTGGCTTCTCCTACTGTGGTGGATATCTTGTGCCTTTGCAGAAGAGAACCTAGAAATGGAGAGAAACCAAAAGCTGCCAGTCATTACAGCATCACTCCCCTCCCTGGAGCTGCAGAGATGTGCAGTCGCAGGAATGCCTTACCTTGCCATCTCTACAAAGAAACCGTCCCAGCCTGGGTGCCAAGTTTGTAAAATAGGTGCACGAGAAAGAGGAACTGGGCCTTCCAGAAAGGTCGCCAGTGGGCTTTGGAAACTCACCGTACACTTGTTGGGCTTCTCCCCGGAGTGGACTCTCATGTGGATCAGCAGTTTATAGCGGGCGTTGAAGGGCTTATACCTTCGAGGACAGCCAGCCCAGAAGCAAGTGAAGTCTTCCCCCTTGCGCTGGTCTATATGCACCTTCTCGATGTGCCGCACAAGTTCCTCCTGTTGGTCGTACAAGGCGCTGCAGTCTATCCAGCGACAGCAGTGCTTCCCCCCAACATCGTCCATCTCCCCATCTTCATCCACGGTGGCCTGGGGCAGGGCCAGGGGCTGGGCGTGGGCCACAAGTTCTGGGTGGTGAAGGCGCGGGTGGGCATGGTAGGGAGGGGGTGGGCCTTGGGGCGGTGGCAGAGGAGGAAGAGGGGGTGCAGGGGGCAGGTCCAGGGCGCTGTCTGGGAACTCCTCCAGGCGCTCGGTCTTGAGCATGCCGGTCGGCTGGCCTTCGGGGCCCGGCAGCCCGTGCTGCACCACCATGTTGTTGACTTGCCCGGGCTGAAGCCCACAGTGCTCCAGCTGCTGCATGCGCTCGTACTCCAGCGCGCCATCCTCGCCATAGGCTGGCAGTGCCAGGCCCCCGCTGGCCACCAGCATGCCCTTCTGCCCGGTGGGCACAGCGCAGGGCTGGGGGATGCAACTGCCACGCACACCCAGGAAATGCCCGTACACCTCTGGCTGTGGGGACATGTTGGCCGGGGAAGCCCTTGACCCATTGATGTAGGCGACCAAAGAGGTGGGCGAGGTGCGGATGATGGTATTGAAGTCTATCCCGATGCCATCAGACAGTGGCGACAAGGACAGCGCTCTCTTCTTGGAGCGGGCAGAGTGCGACCTGGCAGACGAGTGCCGGGGGCTGGGGTAGGAAGAGGAGTGGCTATTTTCCATGCCAAAAAGGTAGGGTGGCAATGAATTAGACACGCTATTGCTGGACATGGCTGTCCCCGGAGGAAGGCTAAGGAGGTCCCCTAGCTCCGCAGCATTCTGAGAACCGTGGCTGGAAGAAAGCAAAGGGAGAGCCTTACAGCCCTGAGTCCACTCCTGCTTCACGCTCAAGGCCGACTGACTCTCCGTCAGACTCAAAGTCGTGGATGCCAGAGACTCCCGAGAAATAAGAGACCTGGAAGATCAGCCAGAGGGAAGAAAAAAAATAAAATAACATTTCAGCAGGATATGCGTTGCTTAAGAGCCAGAAGAATGCTACATTGACAATACTATTCCTCCTAATTACATCCTCAGCTAGACATGCATTCTTGGTCTAAAATAAAACCCAAGGCTTTTAGTTCCAGGTAAATACATTTTACCAAGAAGAAGAATAAAAGTTAGTACTTACTTAAATAATGAAACAAAAGGTTTATTGTCATAAATAATGTTAGCATTTTGATAATAAATGGCCCTTGTTCTAGTTTTAAATATCTTTTTTAATGTACAGGGAAAAATTACAGACCTCAGACAAAAGCACTGATAATGCCTGTCACTGCAAACCAAATAAGCAAATACTTGTTAAGCGCCCACTATGTGAGGTATGCAGTGGTAGGCTCTGCAAACCATACAAGCTTCACCACAGTCCCAGTCTTCAAGCAAAAGCTTTTTCAGGTTGTAACATATATACCCATGCTTCATCTGAAAAAACCTAAATCCTGACTTAATAATAATTTCACAAGGTAGTTTCATGAATATTAACAAATTCGTATGATTTTTAAGGGGCAATTTATGTTGTCATTACTCAGTCACAACTGTCCTAACCATTCCATTAAATAAAAAACAAATAGAGACGGAGGGTAGAGCGCATGCTTGCCATGCAAGAGGCCTTGAGTTCAATCCCCCTAATATTTCCAATAGCATGTAGCTATAACTATGTAAGGGAGTAACAAACTGAAATCAAGTCATGTTTAGAATTACGTGTTAGGACCATGTAGGGTTTGACCACACATGCTAGCAGTTCACTTCGGCAGCAATTCCTTTCCTGTTCTTACCCTTTACCAAACATGCTTTATGTGTCACAATATATTGTCTGCATGTCAAAATGGTTCCTGATGTAACTGTGATCCTTGTAAAATTCATTTTGTTTTATTATGACATCACTGCCTTAAAAAGAATTAAACAGAAAAGTTTTGTCTCTCTGACAGAAAATTTGTCACAAGGAGGCTAGACATATAGAATATGCACTGTGCTCTCAGAATCAAATACAGTGTAGAGCAGAAAAGCTTGTCATATACCCACACTGGCTTTCTAAAGATACCTTTCTTAGATCAAAAAATTAATCACAACAAAATGTTGTAAGATATATCTTCGAAAAATGAACATGTTTACTATACCCAGCTGTTGATCATCAACCTATTACAAAGAAAGTGAGACAAAAGACAGGTATTTTCATCCTCCCATTCCTCTAATCCATTTCACGAAATGGAAGACAGGAACAGCATATTAGCAAGAAAACACCTCAGCTCTGAAATGCACAGTATAAGGTGAGAACACTGTGACTGACATAACGTTACCACTGGGTGATATAATGTTTACCAATGACAAACACAGCAGGAATTTATGTTCAGTTGCCTTTAACATAGATTTTTCCTTGGTCCACATCCTTACACTTGGGCCGAAGTCCTTCACAAGCCCCAAAGTAGTTTCTTAACCATCTGGTTTTTTTCATTCCCTGTGGACACTTTTCAATTATTTTCTTAGCACACTCAGAGCATGTGGCTCTTCCTGCAGTGTTCAGCAGAAGGCTCCTGGTGATTGGATGTCAAGGGCCTTTTGTCCCTTCCCCAGTGAGATTTAGGAATTGTTTTCAGACCCAAGCTAAATCAGTAACCGTGTCCTGTATGAAGCAGGGAAAAGGGACTTTGCTTTACACCTCGAGGTCAAGAAAGTTTACAGAACATAAAGACACAGAGCTCTACCAGAGCTATGTCCCTGAGTGGATGTCCACGCTCGGGGGGTGCATTTGCCTATCAATGTCAATTGAGAACATTGTAGTTTTTAAGCAGTGACTAACAGACAAAATATTTTATCCACCTATGTAAGCTTGGATTAACAAATTGTATGATTTAGTTTGAGGGCAAGCTATAGTGAGACATGTTCATTGTTCCACCGTTGAGAGATGACTCTGGTTTCTCTCAGATGACACCCAACTACGGCTCAATTTACATCTGAGCACAGCTCCATGGAGGTACACTAGTTTACCCCTTGGATGTCTCAGTTTTCTAAAACTGCTATCATTTATTTTTCAAAAATCGAATTCCGTACTCTATCATTAAAGCATTACTATCAACAGATCTCTCTCCTCCCCTCCCCCTCCCCTCCCTCTGATCCTTTTTGCTATCTCAAACATCTAATAATACTCCCAACAAATGCCTCTTCCTAGGTGCAGCCAGTCTCCCTCCTGTGCAATTACCCCAACCTTTTAATCTTTCAAAGTTCTAATGCATGGAATCTCTTCCCCAATACGCTAGCTCTCAGTAGGAACCCTCTTTCCGAAACAGTTATATAGTGTCTGCCTCACACCTTGAAGCAGCTGTGCATCTTCCTCAGTAAAATTCAAAATGTTTGAAAAGACAGGACAATTTTTTTTATCTCCCCAGTAGTCACTAGAGCTACTAAGTCCTCAAAAAATTCTTATTTAATAAGGTGAATAAATAATCATCAGAATGATAATCACCCATTATTTACAGCTTACAAAGCATTTCCCTATATATTATTTGATACAGCATATGAGGTGAGTTTTTTAACAGCTTCTATTATACAAAGAATAAAACAAAGGTTCTGTGAAATTCCTCCCAGTGACACCAAAAAGAAGGCAGGTGCAGCAAGAGTCCTTAGAGAAGTACAATGCAGCCGTGCGTGATAGGCACAGACCTAGCCAGATCATATTCATTCTCCGCTGCTGTCCTCACATTGTACCCCACATGTGGTCCATAATGCACTGTTAGACTGAAAGCCTTGGTAAACCGGGCTTAAAGTCACAAAGCTAAGGCTGGGACACCAAATTTCAATTCTCTCTGCAACAATATGCTGAACAAGTGCGAAGGATGCTAAGGAGTCTCACCCATAACCCCCGCCAAGGCACATACCAGGCCTGTGGGACAGAAAGTGACAAAGAGCCCAGAAAATTGTGTCACCATACTGAGAGCAATCTCTATTTCCATATGTTCACCTGATCCTAAGGATATTATTTCTAGGGATTGCTTTATTTGGAACTATATGTGAAAGGGAATAAGATATATCTCAAACAAAATAAAACCAATATGAAAAAAAAATCAGAAACCATCAGTAAAAAAGATTAGGGTAGCTGGTGAAGGAAGAGCTGAGAAACGCTCACAGAGCCGTAAGAGGTGTGATTATCAGGTTGAATTGTTTGGTTTGCCGGCATGCTCCAAAGAAGTTCTAACTTAAAAATCATGTGGAAATCCTCACACTGATACTCAAACCTGTGTGCGTGTGTTTCATTTATACACAGATCATGGAATAGGAGACCAATCCTACTCTATCTGGAAGTTCTTATCTATGCTCCTCAGTAAAATCTCCCAAAAGAAGTGGTATTGCCTCTGAATACAGAATGGCGTTTTAAATTGGGAGAACTTACAAAGAGCCCAAAGTCATTCTCAGCCCCCTGTCCTTCTCTGAGCTATGTGGACATAAGACAAACAAAAAGACAACTACCTCCAAATTTCTGGTTTAGAAGATAAAAACAAGTGCCGGCCTTTTAAGATGCAGGATGACATTATTAGGTCATGGATAAACTTTGTGACTGACAAGCTAAGTGACACTAGACAAATCATCTAGACTTTCTGGGTCTTGGGGTCATTATATCTTCAACCAGAATAATACCTGCAGTTTGTGTAAGTATTCAGTCATAAAATGCAGAATCACAGTGCCTGTGGAAATGCCAATTATACATTTTTTAAAAAGCCATGCAAGTAGCATAACATTTCTTCTGCCCAGCATTTGCTAGATTATCACTTGCAACCAGTACACAGTTATTGTATCAGTACTTCAGCACTGTCATTTTAGGAAAACTATATATGATGGGTTCTGTAGTACAGAATTTTATAGATGCTCAAACAGAGAACAGCTTCTGGGTCTTTAATATAATAAGATATAGTTTGCACTTATCATTAAGGTGAGCTAGTCAAAAATGGTTGGGAAATCAATCAAAGCAAATACACAGCATAAAAATAAAACCCAACAAATGTAAGGAATAAGTACTTTTTACAAAATGAGCATCCCAAGAGATAAATATGCTCAAATGGATTCAAAAGAACAGTGCGGCCAATAAATTCATGAAAACAACTCAATATCATCAATAATTTAAAAGGACATATTAACATAAAATAATATTTCATACCTCAAAATTTCCAAACTTTTAATAATATCTACTATTGATATAGTATGGAAAAACAAGCAATCTCCCAGACTACTGGTGAATTTATAAACAAGCAAGACTTTCTGGGTCTTGGACTAATAGCAGTGCTATTTGAGAATACACTTAAGACCATCAAACTGTACATTTCCACAAGGCATACTGATGTGTGCCTCTAATCCCAGCTACTTGGGAAACTAAGGTATAAGTATCACAAGTTTGAGGCCAGCCTGGGCAACTTAACAATATATTGATACATAAATAAAGCTAGGCATATAGCTCAGTGATAAAGGTCCCAAAGAACCATCAAAAAAAGAAAAAAAAACTATAATTTCCTTTAACTCAGAAAATTTTACTTCTAAGAATTTATTTCTACTAACCAGAAATGTGCAGTGAAAGATTTAAAGGGTCAATACAATAAAGTATTTATAATAAGAAAATAGGAGGAAGGGGACTGGGGATTTAGCTCAGCGACACAGCGCCTGCCTGGTAAGTGCAAGGTCGTGAGTTCAATTCCCGATACTGGGGAAAAAAAAAAAAAAAATAGGAGGAAAGAACAAAATGTCCAGTTAAAAAAAAATTGATAAGAACTACAATTTTGTTTATATACTATCTTTACAAGATGGAATTTGGGGCAGAAAGAAACCATTATGTGAGGTTGATGGTTTTTATTACAAAAGAGCTTATAATACATAAACTGAAAAAGTAACATAAAAACTACGTCAATAACAGTTCAATCTAGTAGAAAGTAAATGCTTATCAGATATGTGTTTGCATATAACTGGATAGATGTATATCAAAATTCCACCTATGGCTACATCTGGGTGATAGAACAAAGGAAGACTGCCATTTATTGATTAATGCCTTGTCGTATCTTCTACATTTTCTGCAGTAAATAAGAACTACATAGGTAATTTAAAAACAGCACACAATATAAGTTTCAGCTTTTCCTAGGGCAGGCATCTTACACTGAACCATTTATGCTCTCTCCTGCTGGCATCTACCCCCACCAGGCCCCTGACAGATAAACCTCTAAGCTGGTTCTTTCACTATTGTCTGCACCGCTAGACTGTAAAATGCCTTCAAGGTGGACCGCTGCCTCGCCTCTGATGGAACACACAAACCGACTTAAAGATCACAAATAATGTGCAACCCTTCCAAATTGCTGAAAGTAGGTTCCCTCCTTCACCAAGCCACTCCTCAACTCCTATTTCTTTGTTTATCCTGCAAAAAAAAAAAATTTTGCCATAGAAGAGCTCACAGAATACATAGTCAAAAACACTTGTCAGTGCATTTTTAAGGTATTGTCTTTTCAGGATATAAAATTATGCTAAGGAATCAAATATGCCAGAAAACACTGAGATAATGACCCCTCTCTGGCTGACCCTTGAAAGGGACTGCATGAGCTACATGGCTTAAGCAGCCTGTGCTATGCCTACCATCAGTTTCTCCATTAATTATGACTCTGCCTTCAAGGCATGGGCTGGACTTGCCACAGACAGGAAGCTGAAGGCTTCCCAGTGACACCCACCCATGAGCACGGTTAATTTTACATGCAGCACTCAGCAAGTCTGAGGAGTCCCTGAAGGCATAATCATCAATGGGAAAGTGACAGCAGCTTCCCATCACAAAAAGTCTCAGCTGAAAAACAAGTTTCCACCTCATGAAAAAATTGGCATAAATAAATGATCCAGGAACTATGATTTCAGAGTCTCAAATGGCAGCTAGGAGGATAGTGCAGGAAGACAAGAAAGGAAAAGAGGGGCAGGAGGCAAAAAAGGGAGAAGAAGCAGGGCCTTGGAATGGCAAGGCACTTTAGTGGGCTACAGCCCCCAAAGACCAGGAAGCAGAGACCCAGAGAGTGAAATTCCATTATAAGTCACAGTTACAGCAGAACCAGGACTCAAACAAAAAATTTACTGTATATTTTTCCAAGACAAAACTCCGGAAAATGAAACAATTAACTTCTAAGAGAGATAGATCTTAAATACTGCACAGTATTTTGGGGAGTTTTATCCCCCCTCCACATCAACCTTGAGAAAGAGAAAAATTTATCTGAGGAAATAATTTCTCTTTTTTATTCAGTTCTTCCCTATGGAGCTGGATACCTGGCATTTATTCTACCTACTTATTTTGCCACCAAATCAGACATTGTGTTGAAATGTTATGTAACTCAGACATATTATAAAGTCTTAAAATTAATGATTTCAGCCTTTATTCTCTCTAGTAACCCTAACTTTAAGAATATAAAATTATGTTAAGGGATCAAATATGCCCAAAAATCCCCAGAAATAATAACCCCTCTATGGTCATAATAATAACCCATGCAATAAATAACCCCATGCAAAGGACCACATATGGTAGGTATATGGCTCAAGCACCCTAAATTTATGACTACTAGATTGTGCCGATAGTTGGTGCTCAACACATATTTGAGTAAATGGGTAGATGGGTAGAAGGATGGATTTACAAAACAGCTTGAAAGAAGCCCAGATACCCTACAGTGTACATACTGAAGACTTGGCAGGTAGGATAGGTGTGCGCTAGGTTCTAGTATGACCTGCTTCACCAGGAACTGACAAATTTACAGAATTCCCAGAATCTCAGACTGGGGCATTTATTTCACTCACAGCACAAGACAGCAGGTATTAAACCATTCTTCTCAGTTAAGAGGATATGACAGCACACGCTAGTTTTTAGACACATTGCCCTTCAAAGTTCAAATTGGAAAAGTTGCTTGATGAAAGGAGAGAGATACAGGGAAAGAGAGAGAGACGGAGAGAGAGAGAATGTGTATATGTATCCAAGTATGAGTGTGTGTGCCTGTGCAGGAGAAGAAAGGAAAACACTCATGGGGTGTGATTATACCATAAAGAAGCGGGGGGAAAAAAAAGTAACTTGAGACCTGGTATCTGAAGGAGGTATATTCAGGTTGGCTGCATTCATTGCCCTCTGTAAGCTAGGACTGATCTGGTTGCATGCTGTAGAGACCTGGCTTGCTGGAGGTGAAATGGGTCCCAGTCGCTGAACCATCATGGGACTGCTGGTGACCACTAGATTGTTGCAGCTGCCTTTTCCAATGGACTTGCACTGAGGCCCAAAGCCAAGAGCCCCTGAAAACAAATGAATCAGGTTAGCTTCCATGCCCCTTACATCAGAAATCAGTACATACACAAATGTGCACACATGTCAGGACCCATCGTTAGAGACAGTCCTTGGATCTTCTTTCTCTTTTTAGTATCGGTAATACCAAAAAGCTTTCCCTAATTCCAATGGAAAGGCCACAGAGCTACACTATAAACTCCTCCGTAATTGCCACTCATTCAAAACGTGGTTAAATTTTACTCCTTCCACGTGAGAATCATATTCTGAGAATTACACTGAGAGTCACATAATACCCTTCCCGATATGGCTAAGATGATAAGTAGATAAAATTACCTGTATCAAACCAAGTTTTTTTTTCCTAGAATAGCTAATATTTTGAATCATCCAACAAAGCAAGTTGACACTGCTGAAAAAACCTGTTTAACTGGTTTATTTCATTCCAAATCTGGACTTCCAAAAAGCCTCTTTAAAAGGACATAGTCTGGCTGCGTCATTCCAAACTTGGTTTTTTAAATATTTATCCCAGAACATTGGCATTGTAACTATACTCCCCCCATAAAAAAAAAAAAGGATGAGAAAACCAGAAAATACTTCTTTGAAAAACAACACAGTGATTAAATTTGACATAGATATTTCATTTTCATTAGTTAAAATCCACCAGTATAGAAAAATTTGGTACATACCCAAAGGGAAAAGAAGTCTACAAAAATCTGTCATTGTGGAAAAGCAAAAAGGAAAAAGGAAAAAAAAGGCAAATACCACCAAGACTTGTTTACAAAAAAATTAATAATTGAGTCATTCTAGACATTCTGTTTACATGGATGTGCTTTTTCAAAACACTTTTTGTCAACTACCTGATGAAGTATCAATAACTGTACACCCTATGCCCTCTTCTAACAAATAAAAGTGAATACGATCTCAATTTTTTACAAATTAGGCTCTGAAATGTTTTTCACTCACTTTCTCATCTTTTTTACTGGTGTATTTGGGAGCAAAACAGGTAGACGGTATACTGTCTACGTAATGACTACATAGCAGTCACTATAATTTCCTTAACCTTAAGGGGCATAATTTCCCCCTTTTATTTTTCCCAAAATTAAATCAATAGCTAAAAAGTGCCTTTACCTGTCATGTTTCCTAACATTTTCTTCCAACAGCCCTTTAAACCAAAGGACAAACAAGACACTGGGGTAATCAGCATGTGCCCATCAGTGCAGTCACATTTCAAAATGCTGGCAGAATCACAGCGGCAGTAGCTGGCAGGAGCCCTGTGCCAGTCCAGCTTTCCAGAAAATCCAAGTGGCAACTGACCAGCCCATTGTCACACAAGGATTCAATGGCAGCAGAAACTGATACTAATAGGGGGCTTAAACTGGGGCTCTAGGATGCTTAGTTTCTACTATGGACACTTTCCAAGAACATTAGTTCCAAGAGAAATTATTGACTTTATTGTTTTGGATGTACTAACCAGAGCCTCAACTGTAGCCTGATCCATCTTCTTGTGCTTTGAATGATCAGTTATGGATATTCTGCTTTCATAACTCATAAAGCGTATTACCAGGGCTTCATCTTGACACCATGAATGGCGGACACAGTTTTGTGTTATGCATCATAAATGAAATATCTTTACAAATCCCAACTCATTTTCATTTCAAATTTCTTCTTGCTTTAGGAAAAGGCAGTGTGATGGCTCAGAACCTAGTCCAAGACACACCTGAACTGTCTCCCCAGAGTCCGTTATTACTAGCTATTGGTACTAAAAGCAACACCGAGTGTCAAGTATCCTATCAAACAGAATGTCATCTGTTCATACAAGGAATTCAATCATTTCATGCCTGTTTCCTGTTTGATAAGAAAAGTATCAATATCTACCTGTTCCCTAAAACAAAGACGTTAGCAGCTACACCAGCACACCCAGGAAATACTACCTGATCACAAAGCGAGATTCAATTCCTCAACTCTAAAATGCCACATACTGTAAGAAATACTCTTATTTTATGTACCAGTAAAAACATGAACAGTTAATTAAACTTGGCATGGTGTCCAGTCTCTGAGACACTGTGATATAAAAAATGTGCATCTTTGCATTGATAAATAACTATACGATCATTGAAAATGTTATTTTAACCCGCGTCTTGCTCATGTTCTTCGCTGTGTATGGAAAACCCTTGCTCTGACTTACTGGCCTAGTGAGCACCTCCCTCTCTTTAAGGTCTCTACTCAGAGGTTTCCTCCTCTAAGGGCTCCATTCCCCCACTGTCCACTGGGAGAATGTAACAAATTCTTACTTTCATTTCCATAGCTCAGCTGCCTTGGCATAAGCAAAACTACAGGGAACTTAACTGTTTACCTGCCTGTCACTTACTCATTTGTTTATACTTTATTGCTTTTTAAAGACAAAATCTTGGGCTGGGGATATAGATGAGTGGCACAAGCTCCTGCCTAGCAAGCACAAGGTCCTGAGTTCAATTCCCAATACCAAAAAACAAAACAAAATAAACACAAAGTCTTTGTTTGAGACATCTCTTCATCCTTAAGCACTTAGCCCTGGCTCTGTTATATAGTACACAACAAACACTGCCCAATAAAGTTAAGAATGAATGAAAAAAAAGTCAGTAAATATTAAATACTGACCAACCCGGAGGCCTAATTGTCTTTTAAAAACACAGTGTCATTTTTAAAAAATCTCCAAGTGCATCAAATTACTGATGTCTCTCCACGGTAACTAGGTTGCTAGGTTGAATGGAAGGTAAAGCCAGTGAGAAAAGAATTTTATACTAGTCAGGGCTGCCCATATAACCCTCTACTCGAGATTATTTCTTTGTTCTATAATAATGAAACATTAATCTTTCCCTCCCCAATATATTCATCATTTTTTTACTTTACTACTTTCAAATTCACTGGTACACCTTTAACATCTTCTAACCATAGAAGAGTGACAGCTTCTGACAAGTATCAAAGATGACAGCCTTGAAGCGTGAGAATGAATGGTGCATTTCTTGAGAACATGTAATGTTTATGTGCAACTAGGAGAATGTTCTGGAAAATGGCATCATCTGTCTCACAAGTGAGGAAAACAGCTGTTTGACCAAGAGCCACTGTATTCAATGTAACAATCTAATTCTTGATTCTTTTTCATAATGCCAGACATAATGAACATCTCCAGGCTACTGAGTATCGTGCAGTGCTTTGGAGAATGGACTTTGGAAAATATCTGCCTGGGACAGGCTAGCTGTGTGACTCAGGCACATTATTGGAATTTGTGTGGCTTATCTCTCTGTCTATTATCTGTAAAACAGGAAGAAAAACATCACCACCTCATAAAGTTGCTGTACATCTAGTATCAACAGCAAATATAATGGGCTCAACACACTGTCTAGCACATAGTAGGCATTCAACAGACATCACCTTTACTGCTATGTTATTACTGTTTCATGCTGGCCTTTACTTTCTCATTCCATTTTTTTCTTCAAATAAGAAGAAAACAGTTCTTTATAATTCCCTGCACAAAACAAGATAGTAAATGATGCTGTTTAATTCTCTGCCCATTTCCAATGTTCTTTCTGCTTTAAGCCCGGAGCCAGTTTTTTCTAAACCAGGTGTCATCACAGATAGAAGAAAAGTTTGCAATTGGCCAAGTTTGAATGTTCCTTGGCTTGTCATTCCCTGTAAACAAACCGTACAACTTTTCTGACTACCAGATGTGCCAACTTTTTTTGCACTGGTTTTCATTTTGAAATATCGCTTATTTTTAGAGACAACATGATGTGTTTTAAAAATGTGTTTACTGCTCAAATAAGGATCGGAAAGGGTGGCATTCTGAGTACCACATACTTTCTAGCCAAAATCACTGCATGCTGCTGGAGAGCCCAAATGCTTTATATTTCTGAGTTTCTGAACTGAGAGGTCATCTTATCAGGGGGCATATTTTAACTTAATGTCTTTATTAGCTCAATGGTTTCTCTTGAAATCAAATAGCTGATTATCTTACAATTATCACTGATGAGGCTGTATCTTTCCAAACTATGTCCATCCCTTGTTCTAGATAGGAGAGACAACAAACTGAAATATATATGAAGAGAGAGGAGGGAAGTAATCAAAGCTGTGTTGGCTGTCATTGTTCACTCGGGGACACTCATCAAATGGTCAGCCACGGGCCAGGCAGTGCACGGTAAGTGAGAGCGACACAACCTCCCAGACAGCCCACGGCCTGACCATGAAGACAAGGCAAACCAATCACTATTATAGAAGAGATGGGCTTGCCCCTAGGGGGAGTCAAATAAAAGCGCTCTTCATAGGTCAGAAATGATTGTAAAAGAGAAATTTTTACATAGTTCGAACTACCACATATGCAGAATGTTTTGAAAACAGAAATACAGTGTTTGAGTCCTGCCTCCTACCCTCACTGGCTGTGTGATCTTGGGCAAGGTCCTGCCGCGTCTGTGCTGCAGGGTCTTGTGCTAAAATAGGGACAGTAATAGCAACCAAGTCATAGGGTTGTTCTGAGAAATAAAAGAGTTAGCATGTGTGAATACATGTCTCACCATCTGTACATATCAGAGGGGTTTTTTCTCATCCAGGATCATTTCAAAACATTTACAAACCTACAGAAAAGAGGCAAGAATAGCAAAATGAATTCCAACCTTACCTAATGGTCTACATAGCTCTCCATACATAATCTTATTATTTTGCTATTAATTTTTTAAACCATTTAAGAAGTTACAGATTACATGTCTTTTCTCCCTAAATATATAGCCATAAAACAATCATCAAATTCAAGACATTTAGTATTGGTACAGTACGTAATATACTATCTGTATTCAAATATAAATAATTCATTTGAGGTCATGCAGAACAAGGTTCTGAGACACACTCAAACTGCTCTTCAAGAATGGATCAGCAAATCACTGGACACTAGGTCACCGAAGACAGAGGGAAAAGTGGAAAAACTGGAGAAAGAAAAAAGTGAGAGGCTAGCAGAACCTAGCACAGATGTTAAGAGCAACAG